TGATTTAATTTTGGCATCAGTCCTTTCTGATATCACTCCATCGAACTGAGCACTGGCTTAACTCCGTGCTTGTTGCACACATAGACTGTTTAAAAGATGGACGTAGCAACCGGCCCTGAAAAATGAAGCCAACCCGGAAGTGTCAAAAACCTGCAATATCACTACGTCCACTAGTCCTGGCTCCAAAAAGCCCTGGCTCCCATAGAAATGAATTGGAAAAGAAGTGATCACAGATCACGAAATACAGCATTCCGACAGCTCAGGATTATTTTCTTATTAGTTTTCATGGTCAAATCCAGAGATCAGGTGGCCAATCTGAAAATAAATCAATACTGAATTTAAAAAAAATTGGCAACATTTTGTGGGGCAAGGGGTGTGGCTGTCTTGATTGACAGTCGGCAGCGACGATGCAGACGAAGCGAGCAGAAGGCGGTAAATGTGGGCGGGCAGAGAGGGCCCGCCTCTCAATCCGTCTGACCAATCGCTGCTCCTGTGGTTCCGCACCCCCTGAGATGATTTTTGCGCCACTGGCTCCAAAAATCCAAGATGTCAACTAGGACGTGGCAAAACCCTGGCTTCATTTTCTCAGTGCAGAAACCAACGGGTGACGTCATGGTAGCTACGTCCATCTTTTATACAGTCTATGGTTGCACATCCGCTTATGGATAGACACCACAGTTTACCAATGTTCCCTAAATGCCTCACATGCAGGCTAAAGTACGTGCTGTTACTTAGATACGTGTGAGACCAAAAGAATAAAATTAGGAATGTCAGATTTACCCAAGTTGAAAGCAAGCAATTTTACCTACATGGACTGTTGGAGTGCATTTTAAATGTCAAAACCAGTTGATCAGGTTCATTCATTTGTAGGAAACCAAAACTGTGTTTGCTGTCAGTTTTAGTTTTCATTTTTTTAGCACTGCATTAACCGTTGTGATTGAACACGGTGAGCTACTTTTTCTTTTAAAATAATTCAGTCACTGTTCCTCAGCCTACAACTGAGCTCTGATCATCAGGTGTGTCTGAGTCGAACCTCTGCCTCTCACTGTGTTTTTGAAAAAAATCTGCTATAGATCATCTTATCTCTGGAACACGTTAACAGTGACATGGATTGTTTTGCACGTTAGGCAGTGAGGAACTGACTCACCCGAGTGAAAGTGAAAAACACTGTAAACCACAGCGACTAGCACAGTAGCTGTAATGATCAATATCCACCAGCGCAAATGCGAGCACGAGAAATTTCAACCTGCACACGCTTGAAAACAGGTCACATATGAAACCATTTTGTCTGCAGTCTGGAGCCCTAGACAGAGGAACTAGTCATGTAAATAACTGTTTGTTGCAGCCCCAATAATAAAAAAAAATATTATTTTCTAACTACCATTATGTCTTTTAAAACAGAGGCTTTGAAGATGTTTTCAGTGGTTGTAATAGTTTTCTCTGCTTCACAGCCCGCGGGGTGATCGAGTGAGAAGTAGAGTCGAGCTGATCTCAGTGCTGGAGGGAGTACTCGACTTGTCAACCTTTGAATACAAGACGGGCAAGTTCCTCGACGGTGAGGCGCCACCCGTAAGAATTCGACACAGAGTGAAGGTATTTCCCACTTTTGTCACTAAGAGCACAAAACATTCAAGATTTCAACCGCTTGTCTTACAGTCATTATCTTCTCTCGTTAACGCTTTAGAGAAAGGTCCGCGAGCGTTCTTCGTCAGAGTCCAGTTGGATGGAAAGAGGAGAGGGCGCAGACACTCCCGACTCCCACCACAGGCTCACGCCAAACCTCGTATCCAAAAATGCCTTGTCCAATCAGACGAGCGTCTCTTCGAATAGCGCGGCGGGAACTCCAAACCCAGGTTCTCGCGCAGAGGATCCTCCTATGGAAGACAAAATCAAGCTGCCTCTTCCCTCGTCGTCGAAACCGCTTCCGCTCCCGTCCATAAATGGAGAAATCGGGTCAGAAGACAGCACTCTGTGAGTCTGTTGTTAATTCACTTCATATTTCATTAAACCTCATCACTAGAACTTTTAAGGGAAGCAACAGGATCCTTTAATGAAACCTGTAAGCCTGTTCTGAGTTGTTGGTAAATGCAGATGTGCTGACGTTCGTCATGTTTCTCTGCAGGATCTGTGCCAGATGTGGGATTTCCTTCACAGGCACTTGGTATGACAAACAAAGGAAGAGGCCCTGCTGTCCGACCTGTTGGGGTATGTCCATTTATGAGTGTGCAGAGTCAAAACTGCATCAGAAATAAAATACACTCAGCTGAGGTTGAGTAAAAAAAAAACAACACTTTTTATAACATCTGTTTGTTTGTTTGTTTCTTTAAATTCCAGCAGCATCAAAGAGTAAAGAGCATCCAATGATTCGTTTCAGAAAGGTAAAGCGCTGTCTGTCTGCATGAACAGCTACATTTTACCTACATACTAAAATTTCAGATTCAGTGCACATTCCTCTGAAATGAGAAATGACTCGTGGATATTATCAGATAACTCAGCCGCCTGTCTTTTCACGTTTATGTCAACTGCAGTGGATTCCTTGTGGTCAGTGTGTGGGATGTCACAACACGGTCAACTGTGGGCAGTGTGCCAACTGCAAGCATGGTCTACAGAGCCCCGAGTCCCGCAGACGAATTTGCAGAAAGCGCAAATGCATATGTCCTATTCGCAAGGTAAGCTGACGGGGCACACACAGCTTTTTACAGTTTGTTATGTTGTGTTTACATCGGTGTTTTTTTTTGCGTGTTCTATCAGGGCCCAGGAAGTGGAGGCTTCATGCCGCAGAGGCCTTACAACGACATTCCTGAAACGTTTGACGACAGTATGAGTTTCCAGGTAATTAAACCCTGTATCCAAGCAAATATTCGCTCTTAGCCCTTTTTCCACTAATGCAAAGAACTAATGGGGTGGAGTTGGTTCAACGTGCGAACCTTGTAGGAAATAGTTTGTTTACCGCGACACAAGTGTCCCTCAACTTCTGCCTCATCACTTGATATATTTTTAATTGGTTGAATTATTAACAGCAAATAATGATTAATGAGAAATCTTTAACATCCCAAGTCTATACTCAAGCTTTGATTTTTTTATTTTATTTTTGGACTGACTAGATGCCACACTAGTGCTGTTTTTAGAAAAATTGGCAGTTACATAGTTTAGTTAGTCTTGTTGGTCAGTATGATCCGGCTCACAGCCCCTAATGTAAGTAGTTCTTGGTTCAAGTCAAGCAAAAGTGTTGGTATCACTCTGAAACCAGTTTCCCTGGCCAAGTTTCTTTTGCTGTCGAAACTCGAAGAACTAGTTTTAAATACAGAACAGAATTCAGACTGGCTTGGTGGAAAAGGGAATTCTGAAGCTTTTACTGTAAATGGTTCCTCTGTGTTCTTATGTGTCCCTTTTTTTTCTTTTGTAGAGTGAAGTTACGGACTCACAGGTAACATGTTTACATTCTTCTTCTTTTTTTTTTTTTTTTACCATATTTGTTGAATACAGCATTGCTTTTCAAGAATATAAGAGAAAAAGAAAACAAGGATGTTAACCATTTTTCCAACTTGCACTGTTTATTCACACAGCACCCAAGTCTTAAAAGCAGCGATACGGAGAACTTCTCGGTCAACATTGACGTTGAAGATGAGGACGACATGTCGACTGACGACGACGATGATGTGAGTCTATTTTTAACCTGCTGAAGACATGAAAGCAGCACAGAATTAACACAGATCTGTTTTGCAACTTTGCGGCAGACTTGAATGATGGCAAGTGAAAGTTGGCAGTTCTCTTTTATGGAGCGCCATCGCTGTAGTCCACTTGAATTCATGACAGAGTCTGTGTGCTCCGATGATAACAGCTTTTCATGGCGTCATCCTGAATGGTTGGATAGATTTTTATAGTATTTTTCATTTTTAACTTTGGGTTTTTAATACTCAGTAAATCAGGTTAATTGAAAAGTACTGAATGTCTAAAAAAAAAGTTTCACAATACGCCGCAACTGTGTAGTATATATGATCAGTGTTTAAGTAATCACAAGCACTAGACCAACATTTGTATTTCCTTTGGAAGGTTTTTGACACTTAGTTCAGAAGAGAATTTTGAGTTTATTGGCCGGCTTGTTAGATTTAGTTTTGTTCCTCTGTTTTGTCTTGATTTTCGTTGCAAAACTCGTTCTGCAGCTGTGAGAAAACCCAGATAAACACATTAAAACGTGGGCTTGATCGGGAAGAGTGCTATGACTTTTGGTAGTGATTTGTGTTCACCATCTTTGCAAAAAAACTGCAATTAATTTCCTTATAAAAAATACTGGGGAATGGCCCAGTGAGTGAAAAGCCCAGCCTTCTTTGGAGCCCCATGGCTCCAGCATAACTTTATATATTTTAAACGGGTTACCAGGCTTTGGAATTTTCTTTGACAGAATCCAAGTTTTAATATCTTTTACAGTTTTTACTCAGTCGCCGTTTAAGTTTTAGGATTTTGACGGGTTTTGTTTGTTTAATAATGGGTGTGTATTGGGCAGAATGTTTGTGTTTATTTAAAAAAAAAAAAAACCTTAAATACTACAAAAAAAGTGGTGTTAATCTTGTTACTTCTCTCAATTTCCCTCTACTTGCACAATTTATACATAAAAATCGGAGTTAACAGGAGATAACAAGTGCCGACTGTAACCAACTAAAAACAGCCATCAGTAGCCCACTGGAGCCTTTAAGAGGTGCCAGAAATTATCTGGCACTCAGAGAAGCTAAATGAACCTAATGCAAGCTTTTTGTAGCTAATAGCAACTAACAGGAGCTATTAGGAGATAATATTCACTAGCTAGTGGGTGCTAATTGGAGCTAATGGTGCTAATTGGAGCTAATGAGCTAAATAGAGACAGTTAATGGAGTTAGCAAATAGGAGCTAACAACAGGTGACAAAAACATACCGGAGCTTAAAGGTGTAAACAGAAGCTAACTGGGGATAGGAAAAGCTAATAAAGGCTAACAGGAGCCTGAAGGAGCTAACAGTTTCTATCTGTTGTGTAAAGGAGCTAACTTGAGTTAGCAGGAGCTTTCTTTAGCAGAAATTAGCTCATACAACTTACCTGGAGCTAACAGCAGCTAACTGGGGATAGGAAAAACTAATAAAGGGTAACCGGAGCCTGAAGGAGCTAACAGTTTCTATCTGTTATGTAAAGGAGCTAACTTGAGCTAGCAGGAGCTTTCTTTAGCAGAAATTAGCTCATACAACTTACCTGATGCTAATAGAAGCTAACTGGGGATAGGAAAAAGTAATAAAGGCTAACAGGAGCCTGAAGGAGGTAACAGTTTCTATCTGTTATATAGAGGAGCTAACTTGAGTTAACAGGAGCTTTCTTTAGCAAAAATTAGCTCATACAACTTACCTGGAGCTAATAGAAGCTAACTGGGGATAGGAAAAACTAATAAAGGCTAACAGGAGCCTGAAGGAGCTAACAGTTTCTATCTGTTATATAGAGGAGCTAACTTGAGTTAACAGGAGCTTTCTTTAGCAAAAATTAGCTCATACAACTTACCTAGAGCTAACAGAAGCTAACTGGGGATAGGAAAAACTAATAAAGGCTAACAGGAGCCTGAAGGAGCTAATAGTTTCTAGCTGTTGCGTAAAGGAGCTAACTTGAGTTAGCAGGAGCTTTCTTTTTTAGCAGAAATGAGCTCATACAACTTACCTGGAGCTAACGGAAGCTAACTGGAGATAGGAAAAACTAATAAAGGCTAACAGGAACCTGAAGGAGCTAACAGTTTCTATCTGTTGGGTAAAGGAGCTAACTTGAGTTAACAGGAGCTTTCTTTAGCAGAAATTAGCTCATACAACTTACCTGGAGCTAACAGAAGCTAACCAGACCAACCAGAAATAAAAGGGAGCTTGGAGTACAGCAGTAGCAGCATTTTCTTCAGAAATGATCTCATTAACCCTTCGAACAAAAACATTTTATAATGAATGTAAGTCAAGCTTAAAAGTAAAGGTCGTCATAGGGTTAAGCAGGCACCAGTTCACTATAATTTCCATTTCCCTCCGTAAATCTTTCCCAAAAATACAAATTATTATTGGTTTGTTGACTTGATGATCACATACTATCTTTTTATTTGTGCTAAAAATAGTCTGATTATTCTGTTTTCAGTGGCATAAAAAGCGAAAACGTCGTTCTTGCGGAGAATGCAAGGCCTGTCTCTGCAGGAAAGACTGTGGCACGTGCGATTTCTGCATAGACAAGCCCAAGTTTGGAGGCAGCAACAAGAAAAGGCAGAAGTGTCGTCTACGGCAGTGTCAGAGGCAGGCGATGGTAAGGCCGCGCTGGTTTCCGTTTTTACGTAGGTGATTATTGGTAAAGCTGTAGCAGTTTTATTTTTCAAACATTCCTCTGCTTATATTTGGCAGAGACATTTGTTGCCTTTCCAGATGGGACAAGGTGACTATGGGCCAGATGGTCCAGTGCTGCCGGGCAGACCCAGACCTCACTACACATACAGTCGGAAGTCAGGTTTAAAGAAAAGCAAAGGGGCACAAATTGGCTTGGACTTCAGTGACAATGAAGATGATGACAGTAATTTACAACCAGTGAGTGTCAAATGACTTTGGTCTTATATATTTTTTTCTCCCCCCCCAATTGCTTGTAGTGGTTGTTGTGTTGTCATAGATAAAAACCACATCATACCTGACAGTTAAGGAAGGATTTATGGTTTCCTCTTATTTGCTTATGTTTTGCTGGTGTAGATGAACTGGAGCTCTGAGCCCGCTAGAGGCAGCAAACACTTGTATGACGTGAATGTGAAAAACCACCAATCACCTATGCAGGTTTGCGAAACGGATCCTTAACTACACATTTGACACGTGAAGCTCACACCCAAACCGAATAGAGTGTCAACTTCATTTTGTGTTTCCGCAGTTGAATCATTCAGATTTTGGCGTGCGGAATGGGCTGTCTGACAGAGTCCCTCACATCAGCAACCATAACAGCTCTCAACTAGTAAGTTTACATTCTTCCTTCGCATTTGTTAGACAAAAAAAATGTGTTCAATTTTGTGATTGGTTGTAGTTGGGTCTATGTTTTTTTGTTTCGGAGCGGTTCACTTTACATGCATCACAGCTCTAGTTAAGATATGTGCACTTTCCTGACTAATTGTGTACAAAAAAACATTGCCTCCCAAAGCTTAATAATAGCTTTAAACCTGACTGATCATGAGCCATCATGGCTTCCTGGTTACACTTCTCATCACAAACGCTTCTGGCACCTTGTCCTTTTCCTTATATATCCGTTGTCAAGCTGTTCTTTGGCCTGTGGCTCTGGCTCTGTGCTATGAATCCAGGCCTGGATCCAACTCTGTTTCAGCAGGATATTTTTTTAAAACCGGTGTATGTTATGCAGTCTGCACCCACAAGTGTTGCATTCAGGGGTTGATGAATCTTTCTGCAGTGAAGTTGCTCTTGTAAATTTCTGTCGTCTTAAGTTGGAGGGTTTTTTTCGTTGTCTTGTCCTCTTGTGGACACGCCTATGTGCTTTTGGGTATTGTTGCAATTGTTGTAGTTTGACAGTTTTACAGACAGGAAACATGAAGAGAAAGACAGAGGAGTGTGAGATACAGCAAAGTCCTTCTGGACAGATCTGAACTGGGGTTGTTGCAATTATATGGTACGTGTCGTAAGCACTCGGCACCAGGCCACCAAGGAAAGTTAATTTGATCTCCTTGTAATGGATGCATTTTGCTGCCAAGCTGTTTGCGCTCTCCACTTGTCACCCCTCTCTTCTTGGCTGTCCTTCAGTTTGTTCTTGTGGTCACTTGTTTTGCCAGTCACTTAATCAGATGAAAATATCTGATGCTCCAGGACTCATTACCAATGCTGTGATGGTCAGTTTTTTTGAATCTCACTTATGTAAACTAGGATTAGCACAAAGTACAGATTTTGTTATTTGACCCCTAAACTGTAGGTTTTCCCCTTTTCTAGTTAAGTAGCTCTAGTATTGAAAAAAAAAAAAAATCAGTGTATGCATTAGTGTGCATACACCCTCTGCTGGGCAAAGGGATTTACATTATACTTACCTAAATATAGCTGCAGGCACGCATCAGTGCACATCTTGCAGAGGAAGGCTGTTAGCATTCATGTATCAGCGTTTACTGAGCACAGATTTTGATTCCCTCCTTCCAGGCACCACAGGTACCTTGGTAAAACTGCTTCAAGCCTGAGGAGAAGCACTGTTGTACCAACAAACTCAGGGAGCAAACGTCCGTTCTGTTGTATAACCTTCATACATGTAGCTCACACAAATACCGATATGAAAACATTAGTGCATTTCAAAAGTTCTTAAATAAGAAAAAAACAAACTCTGCTTAAAAAACAGTTATTTTTGTGAGCTAAAGGGAGACAAACCTCCAGAGGGAGACGATGCAACGGTCATAACGTTACAACAATGCAGCAGCAGATGCAAAGTTGTGTGTCAAGTGGTGGAGGAAGTATTCGGATCCAGAAGTAGCAGTACTGCAGTGTAAAGTCTCACAATATTATACGAGGTGCAGTCAAAATTTTTTTGCAAAGTGTGCCTATAAAAATAAAAAACCGTCCCTGATTTAAATTTGGCTGCTATCCTTATCAAAGTCTTCTCCTTGAGCAGCGTTACAGCGCTCCTGCAACACTTGTAGCACTCACTGGAAGTCCCGTTATATAAATATTGTAAGCACCATCTGCGATGGAGGCTCAGTCTCCTGAATTGAGTTAAAATTGCAGTCCTTAGGCTTGAATTTCATTTTGGAAAGAGATAGTCACAGGGAGCCAAATCTGGCAAGTACGGTGGTTTGTGAGTGATGAGTGTGTTATTGTAGCCAAAAACCCTGTGTGTAATCACCGTGCTGTGACCGACTGCACAGCGCATTGGAGAACTTACATGCCATTGCACTGCAGTTTAAGGTCGTTCTCTCTCAGACATCCTCAGAACGTTCGGGCCGATTCATGCTTTCTGCGTCCGTGGCTTCTTCATACTGCAATAGGTCCACATCGGTTTGTGCAGATAGTCGCATTGCCCCTCATAACGAACAGAAAAACACAATTTTGACATGCTGTAGTACCTGCTTACAGATTTGACTGTAGCATCATGTCAATGAATATTCCTGAAGCGTGTCGAGCACAGTGGGTGGACGTAGCAAAGGGTTTCTAGAAAATATAGAACTTTCTACTGTGTTTGGGCACTGTCGATGGAAAGCATGTGCAAATCAAAGCACCTCCAAAGTCTAGCAGCGATTATTTCAGGTACAACTCTGTTAATAATGAATTATGAGGGTGCGGATAGCCTAGAATTGTACAGCTTCCCCTCATACCGCACACTTTCTTTAAGCACAACACTTAGGCTGCATGCAGACGGTCTTGTGTGGACCCTCACGGATTTGGGCGGATGGCAAAATTTACGTCACAAGTATTCTTGCGTAAGCTGAAAGCATGAATTGGCCTTTACACGAGACCTCTGCCATGACAGTTTGTCCCTGAGCGATGAATTCCTGGTGTTAAAAAAAAAAGAGCTACTTCGCATGGTCTCCTCACTCTTGACAGTTACATCATGAACATTCTCCGAACTTTTTGATTGCACCACATCGCTTTGCTAAATTAGAGAAGAGTATTGCAAGCTCAAGCAGTTAAATACCACGAATCTGTGACGAACGACAGGTAAATCTGTTGTCATACTCTGCACCTCAAAGCTGATTTAATACGATTTGATGCAAATTCAGACTTCGTTGAGCTTAGGTTCAATACAGTTTGATGTTTTTCATTGTACACGAGTTAAAGATTGAGCGTCACTGTCAGTAGTTTAACTCACAAGTTCTCTCTTGTCAATGCAGGACCAGCAAGGCAGACGGGATGCACTCCCAAGCAGAGACGGTCAAAAGCAACTTGAAGAAGACGACGAAGAGGAAGAAGAGTTACCAATGGTAAGCACTGTGCTTTGTTTTAATGTGTCGTGTTTTCCAAATAACCTCAGACAATCCTACATGTATGTATTCATTCTCTGGTTGTCTGCAGATTACACAGATCTTCAGTTTAGCTGAAAACTCAGCTGGAGGTGGTGCGGACATGGAAAACCAGCTGGCCAAACTACTACAGTCGTTACGCTCCTCCGTTCTGCCAATCCTATGGTATGCTATAATGGTGGAAGGCCCGCAGCTGCAGCTCATCCAGTGTTCAAAACAGTCCAACATGGCCGACACCATGGTGCTGATCGACCCAGGCTTCTTCTATCAGGTTACCGTCCAAAAGCAGCCGCTGCTCCCCACCCACCCGCTGTACGACAGCTACCCGGCACGGTTAACCTCGGTGACTGAGGTGGTCAACCTGCTTTTGGGTCTGGAGAATTACGTGGTGTGTCAGGGAATGCCCCCCAAAGAACCGTTATTTTATAAAGAACCTATCATACTGGAGCGGGCGTCAACGTGTGATTTCTTGGTGAAGAAGAATGTGAGCGTGTGTACTAACTGCAGAGTGCTGCAGGGATTTTCGCCTAAGCAAAGACAGAAATGAAGAACTTGTGACCACACTAGAGACCCCACTGGCTTTCTGGTGCAACTTTGTGCCATTTTGTTCTTTTGGCTTTTCTTTTGGTGATAATATATATATGACATTCTACTGACTTACCTCTGGACTGTAATAGTTTGAATTATTTGAAGATTCACCAAAGGCATTCCAGGAGCTGTGACGTTATAATCCAGGTGTGTTTCTTCTCAGATGTCTTTTATTAATGTATGTTGGTTTAGGGCTTTTCTACTTGACTGTTACATGTCAGAGTTTGAGCAGTGTGATGGATAGAACTGTGTGATCAGTGTGTTGTTGGTTGATCCACACTCTTACTTGAGGAATATTGCTCACCCCCTCCCTCTCACCGTTATTACAAGTTTGAGGGATCCTTCTCCCCTAAATTTCGTCTCTCTCAGCCGCAAATTTCCTGATCTTTTCACCATCAACATTGGCCATCTTCACGTTGGCATTCTGCCGTGTAACATTTGTAACATACTCAATGGAGTTTGTCAGCAAACGTGATTCTTTTTGGGAAACAAAAACAAGATATATTTGCATCTTGCCCAGATTTTCCATTTTATTGTAATTTATCACTTTAACTTAAAGTTGCACCTCTTTTTCCAGTATTCGCTTGACATGTAGCATTTTTATTTTTATTTTTTTAAATGTTCGTTCTGTTCATTTAACAACAGTTGATTTAATTCATCATAGGATTTATGATTTTGCGTTGCGGTGCTGGACTAACATGTTTAACACTCCAAATTATTTATGCAAAAGGTAAAATAATTGCAAATAGGAGTCGATATAGAATACAGGGAATATGAAAGAACATACCCACCCCTATAGGTCTTCTTAATTTCTGGAGTGTATGTTTTCAATACTGAGTCATACTTTGCACAATTATAACACAATAAATTTGTGTTTACCTCTTTACTCTGACAGACCTAAATCACTAGAACAAATGTGGTTAGCACCGTCGCCTCGCAGCTACAAGACCCCCGGTTCACATCGGGATCTTTCTGCGTGGAGTTTGCATGTTCTCCCCGTGCAGCGTGGGTTCTCTCCGGGTTCTCCGGCTTCCTCCCACACAGTCCAAAAACATGTTGCGGTTAATTGGTGATTCTAAATTGTCCGTAGGTGTGAATGTGAGTGTGCTTGGTTGTCTGTCTCTAAGTGTAGCCCTGTGATAGACTGGTGACCTGTCCAGGGTGTCCCCTGCCTTCACCCTGAATCAGCTGGGATAAGCTCCAGCCCCCCCATGACCCTAGTGAGGATTAAGCAGTGTATAGATAATGGATGCATGGATGGATGGATGGATGGATGGATGGAAATGCCATAAAGTTCAATCATGATCGCCCACATGGCTCCACAGCTGAGTTGGGGCGCATTGTTCGGATAGCAACTGTTGCTACTATAATTGGAGCATTATGCCTGAGCAACAAAAAAAAAACACAGTCAGGACATCTGACTACATGGAGAACACTATTAGACTCCTGAAATCCAAACATCAGTACTTTAACACTTGAAAAGTCAGCAAAAAACGAGACGGCATCATTGGTTTTGCAAAAACAAGTACGTCTGAGAATCACTGACTTGATGGGGTCCACAATTTGTGTTATTTATTTTTAATACTTTTTATACGTATCACTGTTTGAAGCGTAATGACATCCACTCTGAGCCAATGAAACAAAGGTTGGGATACTTTTTAAACACTGTAATTACAACAAAGAAATGCTGTTCTGGTGTCACTTGGAAAAACAAATTATCTTAGATTAATAAGATTCACAACCAATTTATATCTGACCAACACTTTTTATTTAGTCCGGACGATTTTAAAAATCAAGATAAAAGTTTGAATTTCTAACCCATTCGTCATGACATTTGGGGCTGTGGCAAATATTTCTACACACAGTTTGTGTACATGTACGTTGGTTATGATTGGCAGATTCAGCATGTTGAAATGTTACATGACAGGAAGCAGAGTAAGTACGTTTTCCTTAAACATGCTCATAGAATGTATTTTCCAGGATTCCGAAAGTCCTCTTACTGATGGCGTACAATTATTAGTTTGATAGAATGTGTTCAACCTTCTTAAACAATGCTGATCCGTTTTCGTTCTTGTCTAATAAACTTTATGACATGCATTATGATTTCTTTTTATGTTTTCCTCAAGTAATTGTGCATTTTATTTTCAGAATTTTTGGGGATCAGTGAGCTATTCTCAAAACTATTATGTAGTCTTTGAATTAAAATGGAAGAACTGACACAGGTTTTACCACATTTCTAGTCTTTGTCTTTCTGAAAAAGACAGCGTGTTAATGAACTTTTCTGTCTGTCCTGCATTTTATAATATTTATCGAATATGTCTGAGGCATGACCTGAGGAGAAGTTATTGTTAACTGACACAGAAACAACGACAGTCTGAGGTTTTCTGTTAAGTTACACACACTTCATGTGGTTATTGTTGGATGAATTATTGATTTTATTATTAAGAGTTGCTTCAGTGGAAACCACAGCTAATGCTTTTAAATGAAGCCAGGCTGATATTTAATACTGCTCAAGAGATTCCAGTCTGTGGTCCATTCTCCGATGCTCCAAGACAATTCGAGTAGTAGTGTGCAGGATAGGTATAAATATTTATTATGCGTTAGTGCTAAGCTAAAGCAAGGGCTTTATTTAAACTTAAGTTATGCTTTTCATTTAAAAAGTTCATGTGTATTTTGTGGCATATCTTCTGTAATTCAAACTATTCATTATTTTAACAAGATTTAAATTATGTATGCTAGTTATACACTGCATGATACAAATATTAGTTTAAAATGTCCTAATAATTGTCAATAGTCACAATGACTGATCATTGTATTCATTCATTGTGCCTCTATTTAACTTCAGTGAGGTATGGAAGCGTCATTGACAATCTAGCTGAGTAAGAAAAGGCAAAGACCCAAATTAGAAACTTATTAATTAATAATAAAATTCTAAAATACAAAGCTAGTGAAATAATACCAGCATTAATGAGAGCATTTAAAGTTTAAAAACTAATGAGTCAGCTAAAACAAGAGCTGCTGAAAGTAAAACAATGATATCAAATAACACTCAGACTTGAGATTGTTCTGCAGGTTATTTCAGATTGCAGGTGCACAATGAGTAAAAGTGGATTTCCCAAGCTCAGTAAAAACAGCTGCACCTGCAGTGTTATCCAATCATTTGAGTGTGTAGAGTAAGAACTCACAAAAACAGTACTGAAGTAATGTCAGAGAGTAAAAAAAACAACTAATATCAGCATAATTCATCAATGATTTTCACTGGAGCGGAAAGCATTTCTGTATTTGATTTTATCTGCGTTGAGTGCAACATGTAACTAAACAAAGCAGCCATGAAGGGCTTTGCCAGCAGAATGTGTGCTACTGTACAAAACTGTGTCTTCAGCATAAAGATGCACATTTGAACCAGCTCGAGAAGGTCATCTATAGAAAAGGAGAACAGCCCAGGCCCCAGGATTGAGCCTTGTGGGACTCCTTTTGCAACTTTTACTAATTTAATTCATTAAGTATATTCATTACTCATAAATACTGCACATTTTTATCAGCATTGGAAGCAACCAGGTACTAAAGCTAAGGTTAAGTTGAAAGGTAAGAAAAAAGTAGGCAATTTTGCTTTTTTTTTTTTTTAAAGTAGGCATTGCTATTAAGGGGTCACCCCCTGTGTAAATATATATTTTTTGAATACCAGTAAAATATTTACATGAGAAGCATACTTAAACCACACCAGACTATAACTTTGTTAATGTGAGACTAAATGTAAAATCTTGAAAAGGGGGCATCTTCACCTCAACCCAGGGACGATGCCCCCAGGGAATCTCACCTCACCAGTTATTGACTTGTGTAAGATTGACTTTATTTTCTAATATTCATATTACTTTTGTATTTTGTGCAGAGTAAGTTTTAGATAACACGAATAGAAGTTATTTTAGATTTCCAAAAAAATTCTAGTAGTAATATTCATATTAGTTTTGTATTATGTGCAACATAAGTTTTTGATAACACTAATAAACAAAAGAGTTATTTTAGATTTAAAAAGAGAAACCCCAAACAAAACAAACAAACAAAAACTATTATTATTGGGAGTTAATTTAGAATTGATGGGCCCAGGACAAAACTTGTGACGTTAATATATTTTACTTTTATTAAGTAATATCAAATTACTAATAAACACGTGTAGCTTACAGTAGCCAAGCAGCTAGCTAGTGCTAGGGTAAGCTAATATAGCATTACGTCATTAGCTTAACATAAACTTAGCTACCTAGCCTTGTAGACAAAGTAATATTTGTTTGTTTTTTTTGTTTGTTTTTTACTGCTGGTTAGCTATGATGTTTTTATACAAGGTGTACATAATTTATCAGAAATTTAAGATAAATAAATAATAAATAAATCACTGATGATCACGGCGAGCTCACTTCCTTAAAAGTGTTCAATTTTCACATTAAAAAAATAACAATGTTGGTCGTTTTTTATTCAAACTAATGTATAGCCCTCTATGTGACTCATGTTAACAGTAAAAGTTGTTTCTCTCTCTCTCTCTATATATATATATATATGTATATGCTTATTAAGCACCCAGAGGCTGAACCTCGGAGCTGCACATGAATTCATGCTAATGTGCTTCCCTCGTCACAGAGCGCGTGCGTTCCTGATGCCACAACTGGATCACATTAGTGCCGCTGGATGCTGAAGTGGCGCACATTGAAGGCATGTAAGCCCAACATCTGGGAGGGGCATCGCGGCTGTGACAGTGAGAATCGGAGCAGTTTTTTGATCCGGTGCAGAAGGAAAACCTTTTCTTCTTCTTCCAGAAAAGCAGGTCTGCTGAGATGCGCAGGGCTCCGACGCAGCGGAGGTCGCGGAGGCTGCTGGTGAATTACAATTGAAGGCACCATGAGCGAGCGGCTCTTTGCGTTTACCGAGAATCAGCGCACGTTTTGTTAATTGGGGGGCTTTTCTCCCTCCCTCCCCCCCGAAAGGATTTTTCGTCCTGCGGGAATGATTTTTCTCAGCTTGCTGTTTGCTACAGAGGACCATGGAGACCTCCGAAGGCATCGGTCATGCTCTCTGGTAAGAAGGGATTCAGCTCCAAGATGTCCTTCTCATCCTAACTGGGCGGATTAATGAATAGCAACACAGCCTTTATGATATAGATTAAAAACACCTCGGCCTATATGGAGGGGGAGGTTTACAGTTACAGAAAAGCGCTGGTGTTTTGGCCTCACGTACGTAAAAAGACGCGTTTTGTCATCGCGGCTGTCAGTGACACACCTGCGATATGTTATTGCTTCCATTAATTAGTGTTTCATTATGAGCCGGTTGCTGCGACCACTATGCAGATGCGGGATGGCTGCAGCCTCCTAAGCCGGGCTTAATGTGGGAACACATGCTGTATGCTTTCCACACTCAGCTAAATAACACGTCTGTGCGTTGAGCACCGTGTGGCGTCAGATCCAACATGTCTTGTGCATCCAGAAAACAGAGGAGCACATTGTTTGTGTTGCATTAAAAGGCAGGAAATGCCAGGATTGCATTTTAATTCAAGCAGCAGCTTTAAAGAAGAAGAAAAAAAATCTGTGTCAAGCTTCCTGGGAATACACAACTTCTCCCTGTTGCTGCATTGTTATGGAGCAAAAAGAAAAAAAAAACAGGCAGGAGCATCCTGCTACTGCTGTCTCTGGGGCCTTTTTTTTTGGTTTCACTGTTCTGGTTTATAAATGTGGCTCGTTCTCATGCAGCAGTGTTAAGCCCTATTATTAACAGATTCCTGAACAAGGATGACTGTCAGGAT